CACACAACCACAAGCACACAACCATAAACACACAACCACAAACACACAACCACAAACACAACCGCAGACACATCCACAATCACACAACCACAAGCACACAACAATAAACACACAACCATAAACACACAACCACAAACACACAACCACAAACACACAACAACAAACACACAACCACAAACATACAACCACAACCACACAACCACAAGCACACAACCACAAACACAACCACAGCCACAACGACAAAAAACGCAACCACAAGCACAACCACAAACACAATCACAAACGCACCACTACCACTACCACTACCACTACCACTACTACTACTACTACTGCTACTACTGCTTCGACTACTACCACTACGACGACGACTACTACTACTATCACTACTACTACTAGGACCCGGGACGTTTGCAAGGTTCGGGCCCCGAAGGTCGGGCCCCTAACTGCGCACTACTATTGCTATAACCACCGCAGTAGTAGTAGTAGTAGTAGTAGTAGTAGTAGTAGTACTAGCAGTGGTCGTAGTAGTCGTAGTAGTAGTAGTAGTAGTAGTACTAGTAGTAGTAGTAGTAGTAGTAGTAGTAGTGGTAATAGTGGTTGTTGTTGTTGTAGTCGTAGTAGTAGTAGTAGTTGTTGTTGTTGTTGTTGTACTACTACTACTACTACTACTACTACTACTACGACTACGACTACGACTACGACTACGACTACGACTACTACTACTACTACTACTACTACTACGACTACCACCACTACTACTACTACTACTACTACTACTACTGCTACACTACTACCACCACCACCACTACTACTACTACTACGACTACCACTACTACTACTACTACTACTACTACTACTACTACTACGACTACGACTACGACTACGACTACGACTACTACTACTGCTACTACTACTACTACTAGACTACGACTACAACTACGACTACGACTACCAATACCTACTACTACTACTCCTGCTGCTACTACTACTACTACTACGACTACTACTCCTTCTACTACTAACACTACCACCACCACCACCACCACCTCCACCACCACCACCACTACCACTACCACTTCTACTACTTCTACTACTTCTACCACTACCACTACTACTACTACTACTACTACTACTACTACTACTACTACTACTAC